GGTGTTGTTCCAGGCAAGACCGAGACGGTGGTTGAGTATAGTTCAGGATCGACGGTCATCTCGATGTCGTTGATTTCAAGAGTCTACTACGGAAACTCGGATGTCAGAGCATATCTCAGCAACAAGACAAGTCGGGCGAAACTGAGGTTGATGCAATTCTTCGGACTGGATATGTAAGTCGCGGACTGCTTTCTCTTAACTACGCACTTCCATCTCTTCGAGGAGGGATCATCAAAGACCAGGCTTAGCTAACTCGGTGCCTTTCACAGTACTCTGTTTGGCGGCCCATCACAACCAGAACCTGCCGACCCCAGGGGCGGTATTCGAGCAGCAAAGGATATTGGCGAGAAGTCAGAAACGGCCATGAACCCGAACCAATATGAGAACGACGATGTGGGTAGTTGAAGGATTATTTGGACAGTTCCTTACTGACAGGAGTTTGCAGAACTGGAAGTCACACATCCGCTGGACTGGCCCCCAAATCCTCAGACAGCTGCCTGAAATCAACCTTATCTGCGCTGGCATGGGAACTTCTGGTAGGTCAAACCTTTGAATACGAAACCACAGTTCGAACTGACATTCAACTTCCAGGAACCATGACTGGTCTCGGAACCTACTTCAAGAACAACAAGCCTTCTGTGTATCGTCTTGGTGTTTGCACAGCTGCTGGCGACCGTGTGCCGGGCCCGCGCTCATACGCACTTCTTCAGCCCGTGGAATTCCCGTGGAGATCTGCTGTCGACCACATTGAGCACGTTGGATCGCATGACTCCTACTCATACTCTCTCAACCTCACTAGGGAGGGCATCGTCTGCGGTCCTTCTTCTGGGTTCAACCTCAAGGGGCTCTTCCAGTTCCTCGACCAGCGCAAGGCTACCGGCACGTTGAGCGAGCTTGCCGGCGAGAATGGCGAGATTCACTGCGTCTTCGTATGCTGCGACCTTCCATACCAGTACATCGACGAGTATTTCGCCAAGCTAGGCCCTGAACATTTCCCAACGATTCACAACGAGGTGAATACCCAAACTCGCAAGATTTGCAAGCTTTAAGGAGTCCACATTGCTAACAGTCGCTCAGAATCTCCAAAAGGTGGACCTTCACCGGTATGATGAGGCATGGGAGAAGGAGCCTGCGGAGGCGTTCATGCACATTCCCGAAAGCGTAATCCCGAACGAGCTCAGCGAGCATCTGCCGAGCACGCCTCGATATGTGGATACGAGCAGCGCGTCCCTCATCCCGAGGTCCCCCAACACCGTCATCGTTGACTTGAGGCGCCAAGAGGATTATCAGACACATCACATTCCCGGATCCGAAAATGTTCCCGTTGTGGAGTCAAAGGACTGGGAGCCCTTTTCGGACGCAAAGGTTCTTGAAACCCTGTGGCTCAAATTGGAAGCAACATTCGAAGCGACAGGCGAGATTGGAAAGAAGATGGAGCAGCATCGCTCAAAGCCGATATTGCTCCTCTGCTACAACGGAAACAACGCGCGGGTTGCCTCCAGCGTTTTGAGAGCGAAGGGCTTTGAGGCAGACTGCGTACGTGGAGGCTTCAGCTCATTGGATAATTTGCGACAGAACCAGGCTGTTGAGCCTCCGTCCTTGGCTAAGACCAATGGACATGTCCACGTCCAGGAGTTGGTGGCGGGTGAGAAGCCTTACCTAAGGCTAGCATGAGAGCTGAAAAATGGATGGGGAAAAAGAATACGATGAGGTAGAAAAAATACCCAATTGCATGTGAACGTTTTGCTGAATTATTTTCTTTATGGTAATGGTGAGGTCATCATTTGTTCGTGTAACCCTCATCAAGTATGCGCAGTGAAACGATTGAAGTCCTCGAGAGTCTGCTCAAGGACGTTAGATCTTAGTATGGGCAGAATTTATTGTCCTTAAAACCCCTCGTTGTGGGTTATCGTACGAAGCCAAGTCTTTTAGCGTGAGTCATCCGCATGAGGCTAAACGTTGTCGCCCGAGACCCTTGGCGACGTCTCCGCGCTTCCGTCTGGAATGGTGGCTTCATGAGAATGGTGGCAGGTCTCGGGCTGAGCTCTCAGCTAACCTCCTTGGCCAGGGTGTCCTGGAATGAACGCTAGACTTTCATGAGAACAAGCAGGCCCTCGCCTAGCTTTCAAGCTGCAAGTAAGGCTACCAAGGGGGAGGCGCTGGAATCGTTGATTCAATCTCTCACAGCCTATAATCCTTCCCACGCGCCATGATGCCATCCACCGCCCGACATTCTTGATTCCCCGATGGTACGGAGAACAGCTCCGGCTAGCTTCCCAACATGTCTATACGAGACTGGCCGTCAGAAGTGGCAAACGCGATGTTGCAGAGAACATTCCGAGTGACATTCGGGCTGAAGTTCTCGTCATGGAAACATCGGGCCATGACGATAACGCGTCTTCCGCGTCAATGTCTGTGTTTATTTCGAGAACGCCTTGCGGCTACTTGCGTGATTCCCTAGTTCCCGCGCGGAGCAAGCTAGCCACGAGGTGTTTTCAACTCCGCAAGAGAGCAAGATCGTCAGATCGTGAGACAAGGGAGCAGTCCGGGTGGGACCCGCTTCCCCGGCCGCGCTCCGCTAGCTGACCAGCCACCCACACCGGCCGGATGTCGCCGACCCGCATGCCGTGCATGCCCCTTCATCGCAGATGGTTAAGGCTGCGGAGAAAAATCTAAAATTTCAGGAAGCAGGAGCTTAAGCGAAATGCGTCGGCGGCTGGCTAGGGATATGCTGTCAGGTTCCCTGATCTACAGGGGGAACTTCGTAGATCCTCCGTGAAAGAACCACCAAGACCGTTGAAAACTTGCTTTCTGACTGCCATATTTTCGGGGCAACGTCTGTCTTACATCCTTCTGTTCTGGAGAAGCGACAGCTCGTGGCTCTGAGTAACGCGCCCAACATTTGCTAGTCGTTTCATCCCCCAGGTTTGGAATGTGACGATGTAAGACCAAGTGACTGAGGCGAGACTCTCACAGCTGAACCGAATAGCCTCCCCCAACTACGTGTGAATTGGAGGCTCAGGAAGAAGACGAGAGTTCAACAACGTTTCATTTTTCTATATAAACTGCTTTCGTGGCCCTCTGATCAGTTTCTAGTTCTTCATCACAACGACCACAGTCATTCACTACCCTAGCTTCAGACTCCAACACACAAGCGTCACTCGCTCTTCGCTACAATGAAGTACCAAGTCTACCTCGCAGCTGCTGCGGCAGCCTTTGGCGCCGCCGATGCCCAGTGTAACGCAGTAAGTCCACAAACTCAACGATAGAGCTCGTGTCGTCAGCTTTATCGTCAGCTGGATACACTGACTCAACTGATAGAACAACTGTGCTCGAGCCGTTACGGGAACTCGTCTCGGTCCCCAGACTCAAGCTTCCCGCAGGGCCGACTGCTCATCGTTCCAGAGGACTACTATAACCCGTTTTGAGACAACTACCTTCGTCACTGTCACCTCTTCCGCGACTTTTGACGTAACTCGCACATTCGCCCCTTCCACCGTGACCGTCACCACCACCGTCCCGCCAATTATCATCGATCCTTCTTTCTCCATCGACCTCCCTGAGCCTCCTGTCGTCACCAGCTTCTCGGGCCCTGATCGCCGTGATCTTGAGGGCCGTCAATTGGTTTCCTCGGCCATCTTCCCCCCTGTCCCGTTCTACGCTTCTGCATGCAGCGGTGCGTCTGCCTACCGCTCAGCGTGTTCTTGCTGGGGTATCACTGCCAGCTTCGTCACCAACAGCTTCCCGGGCACCACGACTGTTACTATTACCTCGCTTGATATCGACACTATCTCCGTCATTGGAACTGGTGTGACCACTACTACCGTCCGCATCACATCTTCCCCAACCAGCTTCGTCTTGCCTTCGCCCACGTCGACCGATGACGAAGTTTCCGAGACAGTGGAGCCAACTTCCTCTGAAACTGAGAGTCCCTCTACTACCGACAGCGAGCCCTCAGTCACCTCTACAGATGAGCCATCGTCTACCGAGACTGACGAGCCCTCGGCCACCTCAACTGACGAGCCGTCCGCTACCGAGACTGAGGAACCCTCAGCTACCGAGACTGACGAGCCTTCTGCCACTTCCAGCGACGAGCCTTCGGCTACTGAGACGGATGAACCCTCTGCCACCGAGACCGATGAGCCCTCCGCCACCGAGACTGACGAGCCGGTTCCCTCCACCACCGATGTCTTCCCCACCAGCGGCCTCCCGGACCCCACGACCTTCGCCACCAGCCTTCTTCCCGTGACCTCTGATGAAGCCACTCCTACGGTAGGCGAGACCTCGATTGAGATCTCGCTAGAGACCTCGATCACCGGCCCCACGCTGACCATCCTCCCCTAATCTAGTCCTCTGACGTTGAGCCCTCCTCCACCGCCGGCCCTGATATCTGCACAACCTTCGGATCCAGATTCCCGTACACTCCTTCCACGCTCTTGACCTTCTGCTCTTGCAGCTACAGCAACCCCACCTGTGCCGAGGGTACCAGCCAGAACCAGCGCACGCTTCCCCTCATCCTCACCATCGAGATCTGCGCCAACTCCTGCGACCTCTTCGCCAACTGCGTCGCCTTCTCTTACAACGCAGTCACCCTTGAGTGCCGTCTTCTCGACGCCGACGGCTTCGGAACCACCACCGGATCCAGCGATTGGGTCCTGGTCGACCGTACCAGCGGATCTTGCAGCAGGGACACGTGCGAGCCCGGCACGGCCTCCCCCTCGCCTTCGACTACGCCCTCGACGCTCCCTTAAGCTCCTGACTATGAGCCGACATCATGTTCAGCCTCTTCGGCCTTTTCACACCCACACTCGTTAACCAAAAGCTGCTTTCTACATCGCTAGATATTTGACTTAGTTGGGGTCTGGGTCTGCAATACATGTCGTCGTTGTCTAAACCATATCTCTTCAAGTGACAGTCGTGAATGATAAAAGTACCTTCATGATTCTAATGTGACTACCTTCCAAATAAAGAGGCACCATCATGTCTATCATACAGAAACATTAGTTGAAAATCTCGACTGCATATCGATTACCCGGGACAGTCTTGTTCCAAGTGTCAGTGTCAACAGAACCTGGCTGTCCAGGTTCCATCTCCGCCTCAAGGAGCATTGGACGCAACACCTCGAACACCGCATCGGCAACTTTCTTCGCACCACATACATAGACGCGTGCTCCACTCTTCCACATTTCTGAAATTTGGTCCTTGAAGTTTGGCAGCTGATCAACGACGTATTGATGTGGCGCCCCTCTTGCCCGACTGAAAGCGCGGACGACTTTTACCACGCCTTCTTTCTCAAACTCGTCCAACTCATTCCGATATATGTCATCCAGCTCGGGTCCACGACAACCAAAGAACAATATCGCCGGAGCCAAGCAAGCTCCTTCCCGCAGTGCAATTGTGCGGTCCTGGACAAAACCCATGAAAGGGGCGAGACCTGTGCCTGCTCCTACCATGATCACCGGTGTTGAAGTGCGGCTGTGAATATCGGGGAGACTGAAGTTCAGTGTCGCAGGCATCAGAGAGATTTGCACCACATCCCCTGGACTCAACGATGCGAGATACTTTGATGCGACGCCTTTCTCCTCAACGGTATAAGTCAGCGTCGTAAAGCCAGACTTCCAGGAAGGCGAAGACGAGAAAGAGTAGGTTCTAGGGCGCATATGCGGCAACATGGAGAGAAACAATGTGAGTGAAAGCTTGATGTCGTGAAAGGTCATGAGTAGGTCGACGACGGTAAGACGCTTGTCGCGGACGTCGGAAGTCTTACTCGACAGGGTCCGCAATGTAGCGCAAGTTTCCTCTTTCTCAGCTACCTCTGCCAAGATTTCGATGCTTCTGGGCGTTGCTGTGCGTGTGAGTTCAAGGTGGCTGGCAAAGAGATCCCAGGCTGTGATGGGCTTGTTGAGAGGCAGGCTGGATGAACGGCCCGATCGAGATGTGATCGTCAGTAGAGTGTCTCCGGTAATGTTGAACCTGAACAAAACTTTCTGAACAAGCTGTGGGTCATTCTGGGGCAAAACCTGAAGATGACCGCCGGCTTGGTAGATGACCCCTTCTGGCAGTCTGAGTTCAAGATGTCGCTTTTGAGGGACACCTTTCGCTGATAACATGCGAGATTCTTCGACAAATGCTGGTATGAAGCCTCTGCGTACTGTGGGTTGGAATCCATTTCCAAGTTTGACCTCAATATCGACATCGGGGCTTTCCCGATCCACAATTCGCCCATGATTGTCTAGCAGTGCTGGCCAAAGGTGGTTATCGAGCCAGCTTTCGAGCTCAGAGAAGACATCACAGGTCGCAGTATCTCCGGTGCCCAGAGTGGCCAGTCTCTGAGCTCCAGCCGCATCCAACATTGCATCCAGCGCCATTGGCACTTTGAAAAGTGTAGCAGGCCAGTCTCTGTGACCTGAAGGGATGTTCATTAGCACGCGCCATAACAGAGCATCATGAGATTTTGCTTACCACAACCAAAGACGGCGAACCGGACGCCTTTCAAGTCGCCAGCTTGAAGACTCTGGGTCCAAGAAACAAACTTAGTCGCATCCCGCGATGGCAGTCCGTTGTAAGACGCGGTGATCATGACGACTGGGCCATCCGAAGGTAGACTTCCTGCAGCATCGTTCATGGACATCGACTTGGGGGTAAAGCCTCTTCTGGATGCTTCCATGACGAGACGCTGTGCCAATGCTTCACAGGTGCCTGTATCAGATCCGTACAAGACTGTCATCGGGCCTTTTTGAGACAAGACGTGTTGCATAGCCTGTCTTGAAGGCTCTTCGACACCACTCGAGCGAGCCCTTAGGCTTTTTAAGAAGTCAGTCGGCCTCTTGTCGTCTCTCAAGCCGACGCGAACCTTGAACCCGGCTGGCTTGATCGTAAGAAGATGCTTGACCTTGAGCTTGTATCCAGGATCATCCTTCTTGATGTCGAAGTTGCGCAAAAGCATCGCGATAACCTGCAGAAGCCGTGTGTGAGCACCCGTGCCTTTCTCTACCTATTTGTTGTGGCTTTACTCACTAGTTGCGCCTCCTGCCAAGCGAACGCTCTCCCAATGCAACCTCGCATGCCATTACCAAACGGCTTCCAGGCATGTTTTGGAATACTGTCGAGGTTCCTCATCCTGTCTGGTTTGAATTCTTCTGCATCTGCACCCCAAACTGCAGGATCTCTGTGAAGGGTATGCAACAGCACACATAAGGCCTCGCCAGGCTTGACGAGATACCGTCCCCCGATGATCTCATCCTTGAATGGGGTGACATAATACCCAGGCGCAGTCGGCATCAATCTCAATGTCTCCCGGAAGACTGAATCGAGGAAAGGAAGCTGTTGCAGATGCTGGACGTTAATGGGCCCATCTCCAATAACTCGGTCGACTTCCTCACGAGCCTTCCTCATTTCCTCTGGGTGCTCCACAAGATAGCAGATGGAGAAGGACAGGAGACCTGACGTAGTCTCGTGACCTGCGACCAGAAAGGTAATGATGTTGTGAACGATGGCTTCTTCACTCAAGGAATCCCCGGTCTCGGGATCGCGACCATTCAGCATGGCGTTGAGCAAGTCATTGCTCTGATCTTTGGTGGGTGACTGACGGCGCTGCGTGATGATCTCGCGGCATGTGCATTGCATCTGCTCAATGTTCTGCCTGAATCTGGACATTGCCCGTGGTCGAAGTAAACTGACAAAGTCAGGGAGGACAGCTTGCAGGTCGGCTTCTCCAAGGACGGCAATCATGCTCTCGACAAATGAGTGTGTCTTCTTGTCCAGGTAGAAACTGTTGAACCGGTAGTCCATAGAGCACAGCGCGATGGTGTCCAGAGTCAGGCGAGTGAAATCATCAGCGACTTCGATGGGCACCGAAGGACCAAGACGAGCCCTGAGGTTAGTGAGTTAAAGGCTGGTGGGCATAGGAAAGACTGAGTGGCTTACCACTTCAAGCAAAGCTGTTCAGAGAGATCATTCATTTCATCAAACATACTCCTGATCTTCAAAGGGCCAAAGACTGGCATCAAAATCCTGTGAGCGACACCCCAGGTGCGATTGTTGTGCTGTGCGGTGAAGAGACCATCGCCAGCGGCTGCTCGCATAGTCTCAACACCGCTCGTGACGAGCTTGCAGAAACGGGTTTCATCGGACACTTCCTCTACTAGTTCACGGCTTGAGACAGTGATTTCTCTTTTACCAGCAAAGGTCAAGGAGAAGATGGGACCTGTTAATAAAAGTCAGCCATCTTATTAGTCAAGACTGCAGGGCTAAGAGCGGACACGACCGAATACGGAGCCCACTTACCATGCTTTGCCACGAGATTTATCAAGGAATCCAATGGACTGACGAGGTCGATGTCCAAGATATTTCCGAGAACCGGCAATGCTAATTGTCCAGAGTCAGCATTAGAGAGATGCCGAGGAATAAGTAGCACCAACGTCGCGGCCCTGGTATTGGGAAGATGGTATCAGTAATGTTCTTCTTGGTGCTGGACTTGATGCTTTGGTCTTCTTCCATCGTGTTTTGTTGTAGGGAATAGGGGTTCATCAGGAGCAAAACGTAAGTCACATCAACGCTTCGGATGTCTTGAAGCAAAAGGACACGAAGGACTTGATGAGCTGCAAAAGAAGAATAGAGAGGCAAGTGCGCTGCCTGAAGATTGATGAACCGCCGCGGGCTTCAACGAAAAGTCGAAGCTGAGCAGTCATCCCACGTGGCTGCCGGTATCCAGAGGAAAACTCCAGTATTCTCTCGTGATAATTCCCTCATATCCTAACTGCATCACTTGACTAGAAAGATTCAACGGAAAAAAACTTCTCACCGCTGCCTTGCCGATGCCGAAGCGAGGAACCATTGTAAGTTTCACGATGCGTACAATGAGGCTCCACGGTGCCGAGTCGAGATATCCCGGAATGCTGAAGGTTTCATTAGATCATTCGCAGAGCTTGACGATACGACCTCAGTGGACTTCGTAAGCCAAAATTGAGTCCGAATCCAGATTTTGCGCCGTGATGACAATGGAGACTGGGTGGTTGGTTGCGCGCGTCTGGGGGTCCATCAACGCGTGCGGCTTTTGTGTGAGGGATACAGAGCTGCATTGCATGTTTACATATAATATCCACCAAACACAAACGAGGAAGGTGGCTGTGCCGTCAAAGATCAGAATAGCTTGAGGGGGGGAAGGTATCGGTTTGAGGGGTTTTGCCATGTCACAGGTACACTCTCATCATCGTGAAAAGCCTTGTTTACATCCCAGAGGCCTCCAGATACACAACCAGCGTAGCCCACATCCTCAGAGCGGGAAGGGCACATGAGATTAATACCGCATTGCATATGTGCACAACGTCCTTGCCTTAACCCCAGACAAGGGAGTTGAAGGACGAATTAAAGCAGTCCGGGGAGACTAAGATGGTCCCAAAAAAAGCTTGGTCCATTGCGGGAAGCGCCCGTACGAATCCCAACCCCAACACACTGACTCCTGAGCCGCCAAGACAAATCCCTCATACAAAACCTCCGCAGATGCTACCGTTGTACTTGTCTAAATCTTCAGAGCTCATGATACTTTCACTCGAACAAATATTTCCCGTCCAACGCTCAACTCCCGCGCAAAACAGCCTTTTTCTTTTACGGACAACCGCACTATCCCCCGTCGAGTCATGCCGTGCGGGCGCAACGCTGTCGCAGTGTCAATGACAGATCTTTCCAAATATGTCTGAAATCGCTCACGAGGATCCAGTGCAGCAGGCCCATTGCTGCATGCGTTCAGTGAAGAGAGAGGAAGCGATGGAAAAAAATCACGGAGATTACACGATGGATCATAGGTTGGACGAGGCGACTAAACGGGTGATACTGCTGGAGACTGGAGGGTCTCGTGCGAGCGCTTACACGTTCCCATGTTGGTGGTCCTCGTGTCCATTCTCTCGTCCCATCACGTTCACCGCCAAGACAACGAGTTGCTGTGGGTTGGCCAAGACTGCAGAGTCTAGGATGCAAGTCATCTCGCGATGATTAGAAAAGTCGCTCTGCTTCCATGAGGTCATTCCCAGCTACCCAAGTCGACTCTCTCATTCTACTCAACGCCCAGATCTGCCTCCTATTCTTCCCCTTTTCCAACTTTACCCTTGCTACTTTCTTGCCTCTCACCAGGGCTGAGTCCTCCTCGCTTGTTGAACTGATATGGGAAACGACAAAGCTGTCGCCGTCACCGTAACCACCGTGGCCGGGGACACAGAACGCCGAAGGACCTTCTCGACCCTGTCAACAAGCACCACCTCAAGCCTTGTCTCCGTCAAGTCGCGCCTTCCACCTCACGTGGGGAGCACTGAGAAAGTGCGCGAGCTCGTCCGCCTTACTCTTACGCGTCTCCGTGTTCTTCTCAGCGAACGCAACGGCACTCGGAAGCCTATCTCCCAGAAGGGTCTCTTCGCTTACAACTACGTCGAGCCTCTGTTCAACTGGTGGGGTGCCAACTACCGAGTCCTCCTCACTCAGTGCCTTGGTCGCGTTGAAGCCCGTGACGCATTCGGATCCGCGACGAAGCTGGTGAATGGCGCCTCACACAACTATGCCGGCTTCTACAAGGCCACCGCCGAAGCCGAGAGGCTGCAGCGTTTGTGCCTCGAGATGCTCCCCGTCTCTGAGAGCGATGCAGTTCCCTTCCTCAGAGACGAGACACACCAGGCCATTGCCAAGTTTCTTGGTGCCGACTTCTGCTTCACCACGAGCACAGGCTACGGCTCAAATTACATCGCCCTTCCGGCGCTGGTCGACTGCGCTACCGTTGTCATCATGGACGAGAACTGCCACAACTCCATGTTCACTGGTGTGTTTCTTGGGATCTGCCCCAACCTTCGCAAGTTCAAGCACAACAATATGGACCACTTGGAGACGCTGTTAAGCGGGTGTATTGATGCGACGGACAACATCATCGTGGCGATAGAGGGTCTTTACAGGTTTGTACATCTCAATACCATCGTTGCAAACTACCAGCTGACTTTAGCGATGACAGCATGGAAGCCGATGTGCCACCTTTAGACGAGATACACCGCCTGAAGAAGGAGTATGGCTTCACATTGTACTGCGACGAAGCGCATTCTTTCTTATCACTCGGCAAGACCGGCCGAGGATGTTTGGAGTACTGGAACGACTACCATCCGGAGAACCCCTTACCTTGGGACCTCATCGACATACGCACTGGCACCCTTTCCAAGGCTGTAGGGGGCATTGGAGGCATAATCGTTGGAAAGGGCCAATTCCAGGAAAGTGTTAGAGAACGCATAGAGAATCTCGACGAACAGGAAAATGCCTCCCTGCCCAGTTCCACCATGGCGCAGACTCTCTGGGTTCTCGAACAGCCTGCCCGAATCAGCCGCAGTCTGCAGCGTTTGGCCAACATCTCTCGCTTTTGCCGGGAGGAACTAGAACGCTTCGGCATCTTTGCTTATGGCGACATTGGTACACCTGTTCTTCCCGTTTACACCGGCAGGCCCAGCGTCTCAGCCAAGCTATCATATGCTCTCCGCTGCGCAGGTCTCCTCGCCACGCCGGTATGCACTCCCGCCGTCCCCTTCTGGGAAAGCAGAGTCCGCATCAACCTCTCAGCAGATTTCACCGATGAAGAAGTCAACCGCCTCGTCGAGGCTGTCATTCGTGCAGCCGCCAGTGTCGGTATCTGCAGATCCCCGAGCTCAGTTCGGTTTCTCTTCCAGACCGACGCAGAATCTTTCACGGTTGAGGAGGACCCCGAGGAGGCAGAAAGGTCCTATGACTTGGTGCGCGGTTTGATCAAGATGGACGCGACGATGGGTCCAACGAGCCAGCAGAGACAGCTGTTCGACACCACATGTGGCCCAAGGATTCTTGAGATAGGTCACAAATCTCGCGTGCAGTATGGCATCGGTGCCGGAGGCGCACGCTGGATCTGCGGGACTTTCCCTCCTCACCTCGCAGTTGAGAAGCTCATCGCCAAAGCAACTGGCATGGAGGCGGGCCTGACTTATGCGGATGCCTCAATCGGACTCGCATCAACCATCGCCGCACTATCGCGACCGCTATTGGGATACACCAAACACTATCTCCTATTTCAGAGGGGCGCGAGCCAATTTGTCCGCGATGGCATTGTAATGGCACCGAAGAAGGATGCGCCCACTCTGCTCAGCTACATCGACTTATTCCAGCTCGTGCAGCAAGTCAAAAAGCTTTCGCGCAGCAATCAGAGGCTTTGTCTAACGGTTTACATTCGCGTCGGCGAAGACTCGGCTCTTCACTTGCTATCAGATGTTCTTGAGGAGATTGCCACCATCACTGGTCCTGAGTCATCCATGACTATTCTCCTTCACTGCACCTCACATTACCTGAACCCAAGGGAGCTCATCTCGTTCCCCTGTAGTTCGAATATTCATGTTCTCGTGTGTGGGTCTTTTAATCGCATCTTTGGCCTTCCAGCAGGCTTTCTCACCGGACCAGAGAGTCTCATCAGAGAGTTGAGGTACACGAGTAGAGGGTACATGTTTACCACATCATCGCCCCCGTTCGTGATGGATATGCTTCGTGCTGCGTTGGAGTGGAACTTGTCGACCCATTGAATACCATTCAGGCATTGCAAGCGTATTGTTCCCTTTTCTCGTCTTGTAGGCTCGGCGTCGAGGCTGTTGTGACGTTATATAGTTAACCAATTGAAGTTGGTCCGAGTGCAATTCCAATACTCATGTTCATTCAAAAGATTACCATACTTCCAAATAGTTGCAATGATGCTGGCGTCTGCAGCTGAGCAGACAATTGACCAATTTCATACGGGCCGAGATCATGTTAGCTTTTACTGGGCGCGTCCCTCTCGAGATCGCTGTAAACCTCTACTGGCCAAGCCACACAACGACTCTCTCAATGGAGAAGACCGCAAAGTTGTCGGACCCGAAGCCATCTGGAAACAGCACATGGCTGCCCTGTGGCAAACGTTCGATTCCGGGTTTGTTTCCCGCTCCGCACGCGAACTGAACAATTCAACGCCTCATAGGATCGAGAACGATGTTACTTTAGTCTTTCTCCGCGATGAGCTTATGTCGTTAATAGAGTTTGGGAAGATGCGGAGGTTGCAGACCTCCATTCAGCCATTTTCGCCGCTTGCGGAGCACGGCACATGGCTAGTCAATTCTTCATTTTTTCCGATTACCCATCCCCCATCATAAAGGGATTGCATTTAGAAAAAGACCATTGAACCGGATGCCACGTTCTCGGATGTCTCAGCGCCACGCCTCATCCAGGCCAGCTGAAGCTTAACCACGGATTTCAACTGCGGCGGGACGCTACATCCGGAAGCGATTATAAGACTCGTCCTCAAGATGTTTAAATATCAGCAAGAATCTCGAGATTCAAGATTTCATTCACCAGGCTACAGCACCATTCTTTCAAAGCAAACAGCTCAACATCATGCATATCTCCATCTCCCTCATTGCCCCGGCGCTCCTGCAGCTTGCCGCAGCGGCATCGTGCCCTGCTTCAGGATCTCCGACCTATCCCGAGGCCACTGAGAAGAACACCGCCTTGATCCCTTTTGTCAATACACTTCCCCTGATAGACGCAACACCACTCCTCGACTTCAATGTTGCCGCCGAAGTCGACTCGGCAATCAAGACGCTCTCATTTCCCTCGACTGGCATGGACACTGGTTCCACCGGGATCATGATCGGCGCCGGCCGGTTCGGCATCAATAAAGACTCCAAGTTCAACATGACCAACCCCGGAACGGAATACCTCTCCTCCAGCCAGAGGCTGTGGGAGGGATACTGGGTCGAAGCTGACATCACATTCCCCGTCACGTCTGATACACGACGCGCGCTAAGCAAAGACGTCGTTGCAAGGGTGCCTATCATGATCGTGACCAAGGCCAGCATATGCACGACGTGGAAGGCGAACGGCGGCAAATGCACAGATGCACAGAAGACAAACATTGAGGAGTACCCGAAGGACATCACCTCGAGCGGTGCCTATGTGGGTGTCGGCTTCGGACGATCCAGCGACGAACAGCCTCAGGCCCTGCCTGATAAGGTCGCCTTGATCAACATCGTTTCCATCGGCGGCCAGGCGGTCGAAGACATGCACCAAGGATATATCCTCACCGAGAAGGGCGTTGAGGTCGGCCTGACGAGCGCCAACACCGAAGGCTTCTGCACCACTAAGCTCGGCCTCATGACTTCCAACAAACCAAGGGACTGGACCCCGCCCAATGCGGCTATCAGCGTCAACAGCACTTCTTACGACCACGGCACGGCTCTCTTGGACACCGGCATCCCGCAGTCTTACGTGCGCGTAAGCCAGGAGATGTACAAGAACACGAGAACCATCAGGTCAAAGTACATGCCGAAGCACCCCAGAGTCCTGGTAAAGGGAACCCGGGTGCTTGTCGCCATCCCCGACGAGAAGAATCCGATTGCTATCTACGACGTTACTTCTCAGGGTGCTGGCGCGCCCCAGGCTGGGACAATGCAGCCAGCGGGTTTCGTCAGGGAGAACTACACTATCCCGTCAACCCCGTTCATCAACACTGGAAGGATGATCTACAGCAAGTTTGATGCCATGCTTGACGCTGACTGTGGCTGGTTCGGAATGGCTGAGCGTTCGGTCAGCACCAAGAAGATGAAGAAGAGGGCAGCATGCCCTGCACCTGCATCTGGGGCTAAGTAATTGTTGAGGGAATGGATACTGGAAATCATGGGATTTTGGAACGACAGAAAAAGCATGAGGGGCTAATAAAAGTAGTTGTCAGAGCTATCATAGGTAGTTTGAAAGAATGACCAAGAAAGATTTTAATATCAATGATATTGGAAGCTGAATCGGTGGAGGGCAAACATGCACCTGCATCACCTCGTACATCTAGTTCTGTGACTTTTGTCGTGCTGTAGTTGAGACCATCGTTGTCTTTCACCACTTCAGGTTCCGCCTTGAGGGCGAAATGCCACTATTACCTCGCATATTAATGTACTCGAGATCAATCTTTTCTTTTCACTGTGAGGACTTCACGGAGACCTGCCGGACACTCACAGCCCGGACCCACATATCCGGCGCCGACGTCCGGATTCAGCAGGAGCGTAGACGGTGTATGCAGCAAAGCAACGTCCGGCCGGCGCGGTTGCCGAGAGGGGTTCGTCTGACCGACGGAAAGCCCACCGCCAAGGGTTCATCGTTTCTGATCTCTGAAACACTCGGAAAAACTCCACATCATCGCTTTCGAATCAAATTTCCGGCGGACCCTCTCTCGCGAAAGACATGCTTAAGACTCCAAGTGCCGCGGCTTAATTTTAAAGGGCGGTTAGCGAAGTGTCAAAAGGTCATTTTTGTGATCTTTCTGTTGCTGTGGTCGTACGATCGCCGTCAAGTGATCATGCTCTTTCGCAAGGTGTGTTGGATAGTCTCCTTGACAACTCTCTCTCTCTCTCTCTCTCTCTCTCTTATTACTTCAGACTTGGTAACTTCCGCCTCCACGGTCCCCCTCTCTATCCAACTATCGTTCTGCGTATTTTGGGAAACACAGCCTGGGGATACGTGTACACAGACATCAGGGCCCCTCTCGTGGCAATGCAACGTAGCGGTCGATTGACGAGCCTCCAGAACCGAATGCAACAGCATTCTACCTGTAAACATTGCCCGTGAATATTTCTTGATTCTGCCGTCCTTCATCTCAAAAAAGAAGAAAAATCGGAAGAATGGGCGACGGGAATCTAGATCTCGTGCGGTCAGACGTTCCCAAGACAGCGGTTGCTGGAGCGTAATTAACCCAGCCTGCCAACGGCGGCAACGAGCTCATTAATCTCCCGCGGTTGGCGTCCCAGGAACGGTTTTGGAGCAGGGGTAGTGTGCGTCCCCGGCGACGGGCAGGGGTCTTTTGTCGTGCGGCGCCGCTCTGCTTCCTCTTTCTCCCAAACAGAAACGGACCGATTGTGTGTGTGTGTGTGTGTGCTTGTGTGTGGCCGAGCCGCGAGAGTTTTGCTCCTGCACGGAGAACGGCGAGGCATTCTAGGCGCGAGGGTGACACACGTCGATGAGGCGGCAAGGCTGATTTAAGTTCAACACTGCCATTCTTCCATTCTTCTAGATTCTGGGACCGCACGGCCGTGTGCTGTCCTAGTGGTTTGATGTCGTGTCGACTATCGCTGCTCGCTAAGAGTGCCCGGCGGCAGTTTTCCTTGGTACGTAACTGAGTCCTGAGTCCTGACTGAGTCAAGACCACGAGGAACATGCGCGCGCCGAAACGGTTTAAGCGACATAGGGTATCCGGTCCGCCGGATTGGGAAGAATCAAGACAGAAAAATGTCCGTTCCCTTGGCGCTATCTCGCAACGTATCCGAAATGAGACGTAGCGAGAGTGAAGATGCCCAGAAAGAGAAAAGGACGAAGCGCGGTTCTCACGGTTTTCAGGGGGGCTGGGAACTGAGATGATACCGTGTAAGCGACGGTTCAAACCACACCGCAACCACGGTGCTCTTCGCTCTGCAACAACAGCAACTCCCGAGTCCCAGTAATCCTCCGACTTCATCGCCCTCTGGCAAATCCTCGGGAGATGTTATTTTGGGGCCAAACACCGCGCATGGAGAGCCTTTGGGCTGCCGCCTGAGCCCACGCGGAGCCGCGTCAGTCGGCTGCTGGGCGATTTTCAGGGGCAACGGGCCACCTGCTGGCACCATTTTACTTCCGAGAGGGGGACCAGGGGAGAGTTGGGAAGGATGACCCCTACACGCACTGTGTCTCAGTTGACACTCGCTCTCTTCTCAGGTAGAGGCAGCGTCTCACTCACCCTCCATTATTGTCTTTCTGTCGTATTGCGGTTTTCTCCATCGGTATCCGTATATGCTTTCGCTATCGATTTCGGGCTGAGTGTTCACTGATAGTTGCTGCTCTTATGGCTGTCGGCTGAAAGTCTAATGTATTACAGGCCTGCCAGATCCGAACAACTCGAGATGCGTGTCGTGGTGAAGGCAAAGGACAGAAGAGAGATCATCCTCGACTGTACCGGACGAGGCTTATACCCTCCCAGCCTCTTCCAACTCGTCGGGACCCTGTGGATCGTGAGCTGAAACGGCCTCACCGCTCGAAGCTGCTGTCAGTCATAGGCATAAACCATCACTTGCCGCGCAAAATATCCCGACGAAGGGCAGTCCCGGGCGGGCCAAGCGGCTTCATGCTGGCGGTGCCTGCGCTCATCCAGCCCTAACTGGATCCGAACCCGTCGGGAGGTCTCCGCGGGATATCTTCACTCATCACGGTCAAGATGGGACATTCCAGAGACGAGCAGATTCGCTCCCGGCATTCTCGAAAGTCCATCCGTCCGGCCTGAACTCTGTTTCCACTGACATGATTCATCGTTAGTGAGGAATCACGTCAACCAGAGCTAGGATCTGAGCAGATCTGCACCACCAACCGGCGATGCTCATATCCCGTGATGCTCATCTCTGTTCTCTGCCAACTTTCACCCTGCAAGCGCGGTAAAAGAAATGTCTTATTGATAATCAAAAGACCTCCAAAACCAACACCCAATCGCACCCTCGCAGCCGCGCCGCATCACGGCAGCCCAAACATGGCACCACAGTCACATAGATGCAACCAAAGAGCGGCACATCAACCCTCCACATTCCTTCACCAACCACGCTTCTGTGATTCAATCCCCCTCCCCCCCTCCATGACCTTGGGAGCCGATCCATGATCCATCCCGCTTGGCCTGGACCACCAACCAACCCGTTCACCCCTTCTCAGCCGCGGCCAAATTTGGTCACGCCCACCAACCATCGCACGGGATCCTCTCCCGAGAAACCTGGGGACCCGCAGCGAAGCATGAACAAGGATCCCGCTGGCCTGTCTCCCGTCACAGCCAGCCGAACCATCCTCCCCACCGCTGGCCCCTGGCCGCAGGTCAATCCACATCGCGGGCCTCCTCCCCTGCAACAATGGAGAGAAAGAGAGAGAGAGAGAGAGACAGAGAGTGAGAGGCGAAGAGGATGTGTGGCTTCGGTATATTTACGAGGCAGACCCGCCATGCGACCACCCCTCCTCCGAGGCCGTTTCGATCTTGGTCCCCCTTCTCGTCCTTTTCGGAGCCGGTCCATTACTTTCTCTAAAACCCAACTTTTCGATTCTTGACGAAACAATTTATTTGAACGAGATACGAAAAAAAGAACCATGACGAGCTAGCATCGTCTTTTCCAGGCGAAAATCAAAACGGCAAAAAAAAAAAAAAAAAGAAAGAAACCAGAAAAACGTACCGATTCTTACGAAACGAAACGAGAGCAAGAGAGAGCCACTGGTGGCGGACGGAGACGATCACAATTCCTTTCATTCACTCATTCAATTCTCATCAACAACGACTTTCATTCAGCAAAACACACCGACGACTACACAAACTCGGACCTTTTCGAGCCAGACACAGCCAAGCCATGGCATCAAACTGAACCATCCAAACTACTTCACAGTCTTTTCATTCATTTATACATACTTTTATTGCACAAAATGCCTCCAACAGGCGCCTTTGGCCTCCTCGCCCTCCGCGCCACCGAAAATGCCGCCACCGCTGCCTTCACATCACACACCAACTCAACCGAGCAATTACTCAACGCCACCGCAGGAGGAGGAGGGGGAGAACCGGGCCACCGCGAGTGGAATGGCGGCTCCGTCGTGCCCGTTGCCGTCATCTCGGCCGTGCTGTCGACCGCCTTCGTGGCCATGCGCTTCTACACTCGCATCTACATCCTGCGCTCAGTCAAGTGGGAGGACTGGTTCATCCTCATGTCCCTCGTCTTCGCCATCGCCACGAGCGGGGGTATGATAGCACGTACGTCCAGCCTCCCATCTCAAACTCATGAGCCCTTCAACTAACTAGAACAACAGAACTCAACTACGGCCTGGGCCACCATCTACGCTCCGTCGGCGCCTCGTTCCCCGTCTATATCCAAACAGGCATCCTCACGAACCTCTTCTACTCCATCTCCCTGACCCTCACAAAAATCTCCATCCTGCTCCTCTACATCCGCATCCTCACCTACGACCTCGTCCGCCTCCTCGGCAAGGTCCTCCTCGGCCTCGTCATCCTCACCCACACCTGGATCATCGCCTCCATCCTCACGACCTGCATCCCCCTCTCCGCCGCCTGGTCCTACGACCCCGCCAACCCCCCGCTCTACTGCCACCCCGTCCCCGTCTTCTGGCTCAACGCCGTCCTCCACATCCTCACCGACTTCATGATCTTCATGCTGCCCCTCCCCGTCATCTCCAGCATGAGCCTGCCCCGCAAGCAGAAGACGGGCCTCTACTTCGTCTTCTGCCTCGCCTTCCTCGTCTGCGCCATCTCCATCTTCCGCCTCGTCGCCGTCTTCCACACCGACGAGTCCAACGCCCAGGTCGCAGACGTCACCTGGTCCGCCGTCCGCGTCGCCAACTGGACCTCCCTCGAGGTCCACATCGCCATCGTCACCGCCTGCCTGACCACCCTCAAGCCCCTCCTCAACGCCCTCTTCCCGAACCACGCCTGCGGCGCCACCGTCAACGACAGCCCGCTGCCGCTCAAAACGGCCAGCCCCGCCGAGGAGGCTCGCCGCCGCAAGGACTTTGAGGAGAACTTCTCCACGGGTGATGTTGATGGGTACAGGCGCCCGCTGACCATCGGCACGAAGTCGAACAGGCCAAAGGTTAGGCGGGACACGTTTGCCAGCCTCGTCGCGGACCGCAAGAGCACTCTGGAGCACTTGGAAGTCGCGACACCGACGTCGGCGACGAAGTTGTCTGATAAGGAGGGCGAGGAGTTCAAGCTGCCCGAAGTCCAGCCACCGTCGCCTTTTGGCAGGTTTTCGAGTTGGACACGGGGTTCGAGGTTGCAGATCCCGAGCGTGACGAGAGGTGCCAGCGTGAAGCACGAACGCTTCGGGTCAACAGCAACAACAAGAGGGAGGCACGAGCGGTTCCCGTCGAACGTCACCTGGGCTTCGACACATCGACGGTATGAGTCTATTGATGAAGAGGTACCACAGGTACCCGGGAGGAGGCTGATTTAAGGCGAGATTGTGTACGATGGACGAGGCGTTGAGTGCTTTTGAGCGAACATGTATACCAAGCGAGTCTATGAGGGGCCATTGAGCCCTGATTTGGATTTCAGCGCGGAACGCGCCATCATGTATATATAGCATCACAGTCGACGGCGTTGAAGGGACGAAAAGGCGGCAAGGGTAGCATGCTGTGTATACCCCTTCAGCGCGACACGCGGCTGTTTGTAGTAGTACGAATAATGACATTTTCTTGCGTCAGCCTCAATCCCAGGATCGCTTATGAATTTCCATGCATCCGCACACCGATTTGGTTTATAGCAATCTGATATCTTGCGAACGACATGTCAGCATCACTGCGAATGCAGGCTAGGGCGAGGGTATGTTCACCTGCTTCGAAATAAAGCCCCCTTCCTCCACGTCTCTGGGCCAGACGACCCTTGCGTCTGCCTTTTTGATTTTCATGACACGTCAAAATGACGAAGCCTCATCTGGTATCATTCTTTTTGCTTAAGAAATGAGATCGGCCACGTTCATGGGCATCTCATCAATCTGGGTAGAGTAGTACACTGCAGTCGTTAGCATCCATAAATGAGTTAGGACTCGAGCAATACTGACACTCAATGTCTCTCAAGATGCGCACATCCTCGCTAGTAACGAAGTTGATAGCGACACCCTTCCTTCCAAAGCGACCACTCCTACCAATGCGGTGGATGTAGTTCTCACGGTTGCTCGGCAAATCGTAGTTGATCACCAAGCTGACCTGCTGCACATCGATACCGCGAGCCCACACATCCGTGGAAATCAGCACACGGCTGTTGCCCTGTCGGAAGTCCTGCATAATGCTGTCGCGCTCCTTCTGCGGCATGTCACCGTGCATACTGCTGACCGTAAAGTTGGCCTCGCGCATCTTATCCGTCAGCCAATCAACCTTTCTGCGCGTGTTGCAGAAGATGACGGCCTGCGTGATGGTGAGGGTGTCGTAGAGATCACACAACGTATCGAACTTCCAGTCCTCCTTCTCGACCGCGATGAAGTACTGCTTCAGGCCCTCGAGGGTCAACTCGTCACGCTTGACGAGGATGCGCACAGGGTCGGTCATGAACTTGGTCGTCATGTCGAGCACGTCGTACGGCAGCGTGGCGGAGACGACGACGACCTGCGTCGCGGGGGGCAGGTAGCGGTACACGTCGTAGATCTGCTCGCGGAAGCCTCTGTTGAGCAGCTCGTCCGCCTCGTCGAGGACCAGCATCTTGATGTGGCGGGTGCGCAGGTGTCTGCGGCGGATCATGTCGGCGACGCGGCCGGGGGTGCCGGAGACGATGTGCTGGCCGTAGTCGAGCTTGCGGATGTCCTCGCCGACGTTGGTGCCGCCGATGCAGGCGTGGCACTGTACGTTCATGTAGTCGCCGAGGGCCATGACGACGGACTGAATCTGGGTCGCGAGTTCGCGGGTCGGGGAGAGGACGAGGGCTTGGGTCTCGCGGACGGCGGTGTCGATGACTTGCAGCATGGAAATGGAAAAGGTCGCGGTCTTACCCGTGCCGGACTGTGCCTGGGCGATGGTGTCGCGACCCTTGCAGACCTGGACGATGGCGCGGGACTGGACGGCGGACGGGGACTCGTAGCCGTAAGCGTAGATGCCGCGGAGGAGGTTCTCTACGAGGTTATCGTCAGAAAATAATTCAATTGTTCGTGATGATGGGGAGCCTTACCCTTCAGCGACATGGACTCGAAGGTCGGGTGGACAGTGACTTCCTTAGAGGTGGAAAACTCCATCCTCTCGTCCGCCTTACGATCAATTCCGCTACCGCCTTCAGCCATGATGATCTCTGTTGTATTTTCGGGAAGGTGTTAAGTGGTTGTTGTTGCGACGTCGAGGTCGAGGGTCGTGATGTGCAGGTGCAGGCAAGGCAAAGTCGAGGGCGAAATTTTAGAGGGGCGCGCCAAAAGCTTCAGCGCGCTCTGCTGCAGGCTGCGAGTCGCAAACCAGACGACACCTGTCTCGGGCCGGAACATCCTTCTGCCGGCCTGTCAAAAAGACCAGAGGCAGCGCAAGGCACCCCGTTAACACAGTGCATCTAGCGCTTTTCCTACCAAAATTGGGGAGCTAAAGCAGGCCTTATTCAGTGGAACCGACAACACCAGGTACGCCGCGCCAGCCTTCCGCCGCGATTTTTCCAGAAGCTGCGAAAGCCGCGCCAAACACTCGATCTCGACAATCACCTACACATCTCTCCTCACTCTCCTTCCTCCGCCCACGCCGCGCGTCGCCGACAGAAACACCCCCTTCGGACCGCGAAAATGGTCGGCATCCTCGAAGAACAGCGCTACATCCACGAGGACCTCGAGCGCCTCGAGCAGGGCGTCGCAGACCGCATCGCGGACGAGCCGAAACACATCCGCGACCGCCTCAACCGCGACCACGAGGTCTCGCAGCTGCTCGACCAGATCCAGGCGCAGTCCGCCAAGCTGCTCGATATCTACGGCGACGCCGACGGCCAGCGCTCGCGTGAGATCCAAAGCATCGGCACCGGCGACCCGTTCGAGGAGTTCTACGCCCAGATCAAGGACGTCCGCGAGCACCATGCCAAATACCCCAACGAGCAGGCCGAGAACTCGGAGCTGCGCTACCGCGTGAAGAAGGAGGGCGACGGCGAGATGATGCCCTACATCATCGACCGCATCTTCACCGGCGAGGAGGGCTTCGGCCGCTTCTTCGACCTGCACACCTGCCACGAGAGCTACCTCAACCTGCCCAACGTCAAGCGCCTGTCCTACCTGCAGTACCTCGAGGTGTTTGACAACTTCGCCCCCGGCTACGGCGGCCTGAAACGCAGCGAGAAGCTGACGGACCAGTACTTCAAGTACGTCGGCGAGCTGGCGGGGTACCTCGAGTCCTTCATGCGGCGCACGCGGCCGCTCGAGAACCTGGACAAGGTCTTCCACGGCTTCGACAACGACTTCGAGACGGCGTGGGAGAAGGACGAGGTGCAGGGCTGGCAGGATGACGCCGCCGCCGCCGCTGCAAGGGAGAAGAGCAGCGCGGAGGCGGTCTGGTGCGAGGACTGCGAGAAGGAGTTCAAGAACGAGAACGTGCACAGGTCGCATCTCACGGGGCGGAAACACATCAAGGCCGCCGAGGCGCGGAAAGCACGGCAGGAGGAGGACGGCGGCGACGCCGCGGCAACATCAACAAATGGCGGCGGCGGCGGCGTCAGAGTCTCCGCGACGAGGTTGAAGGAGCGCGCCGTCGCGGAGCGCGAGTACCGCGTCAAGCGCCTCGCGGCCGCCATGTCCACGGAGCGCGGCGACACGCGGGTCAACGTGGAGCGGAAGCAGGGCATGACGGAGCGCGAGCGCCAGCAGGAGCTCGAGAGCTACCTCAGCCTGTCCTCGGCACCGCCCGGCGGCGGCGGCCTGGTCGCGGGGGGCGACGACGAGGAAGGCGACGAGGACGGCGAGGACGGCGAGGAGAAGATCTACAACCCGCTCAAGCTGCCGCTCGCGTGGGACGGCAAGCCGATCCCGTTCTGGCTGTACCGCCTGCACGGCCTGGGCGTCGAGTTCCCCTGCGAGATCTGCGGCAACTTCGTGTACATGGGCAGGCGGGCGTTCGACAAGCACTTCAACGAGGCGCGGCACGTCCACGGCCTCAAGTGCCTCGGCATCACCAACACGGCCCTGTTCCGCGACATCACGAGCATCGACGAGGCGACAAACCTCAACGACAAGATCCAGCGCGAGACGAAGAAGACCAAGGTCGACGAGGGCAGCATCGTCCAGATGGAGGATGCGGAGGGCAACGTCATGCCCGAGAAGGTGTATTACGATTTGCAGAAGCAGGGTCTGTTGTAAAGGGCCTAATTTTGATCTCGGTGAGAGCGGGATGAGGGGAGCGGCGCACACGGCGAAGAATCAGTGGTCTGTCTGGGTGATGGATGCCCTGAGGTGCAGACAATTACGGGATCTGTAATTGTAGTAGACACAGCCGACATGGCTTATCGTTTTCGAAAAGCATGAGATTGCACTGTAGAAGGTATAATGGAGTCAAAAAGGGATACCATTTCATGAACACTCGTTCCTCGTTCGTCCCACAATCTGCCTGTTGTTTGGCGGCGTAGATCAGTCTGAACCACAATCAAACTCGACAAGCATCTACCATCGACAACGTACCCAGCTGAGCGCATTGCGACGACGCGATTCAGCCGGACCCGTAGATACAGCGAAATCCCACAAAAATCGGTTTCTGGCTATCCGATTCATACATGCACCCTCCTGAAGAAAATCTTTTCGAGAGGTTGCTTTGATAACAAAAAAAAACTCATCAATGTGGCAAAACTCGGAAACATGCGCTCTCCACCGCTGATGTCATGCCAAAACCCCGACGTCAAATTCACAGGTTTGCAACACGGGGTTTTCACATGAAGGTCCATTGAATGCAATCAAGTCCTGCGACTTCAGATGGAAGAAACTCCTGCAGATGTTGGACTAAATGATCACCGAGTGAGAAAAGGGGACAAATGATGAAGTAAATCGCGCCATTCTTTTTGATATGGCTGCATCCGGTCGGCTTTTCTCGCCAATCTCGGTTGTGTCTATGTTCTAGTTTCTATGTACCGTACCGCCGGGGCTTCTTTTTTGTTGTCTTGATCCTGCACCAAGCCGAAAACACGCCCAAATGACTTTTATTGTAGTCTTTTTTCTGTTTCCCTGTATCCCAGTAGAAAGCAATCCCAAGTGCCCAAATACAGGACTCGCTCTATGAATCACAAAACCCGACCGTATGTCCCCAAAACAAATGGAATGTTCCGTGGCCCTGTCGCCATTTTTTCTTCCGCATTAGGTATCTCTATGGTGTAATCATCCCCTGTTGTAAAAAGGCTGTCTTTTGTGACGCCATCAAGTAGTCGCTTGCTTTATCCGTTTTGATCGGATCTTCTTAATCCCGTAGGATCTCATTCGTAATCGTAAAAGGAAAGGTTGAGGAGAGGTTTCTTAGTCCTCGAAGAGGCCAGACATCTCCTCCAGAAGCTGGTCGGCGGTGGGGCGCTCAGCGGCGTCCATGCGCATGATGCGGTTGATGAAGTGCGACGCGGTGCGGTAGTCAAGGGGCTCGACCTTGCGACCGACGGTGAGAGCCTTTGCAGCCATGGCCTTGCCGGGACGGGCACGCTCGAGGTAGGTCTCGGGGATGGCACCGAAGCGGCGGGATTGCTGGCGGAGAACCTCGAAGATGTAGCTGCGGTCATGGTAAGACGCGTTGGTCGGGCGGAAGGGGTTGTAGTCTCCGCCGTGGAGCAGCGCAATCATCATCGATCCAAAAGCCCAGATGTCGCTGGCAGTGCCCCAGGGAACCTCCATCAACACCTCGGGGCTGGTCCAGATGGGAGCACCGATCAGGAAACCCTTACGCGCAACATCGGAGTCGACGGAGTAGGAAGCGCCAAGGTCGCCAATCTGGACGTCGGAGAAGCGAAGGTCCGGGTCGGCTTCGGATTCGGAGGCGTAGTTGACGAGGATATTGTCGGGCTTGATGTCGGTGTGGACGTAGCCATCCTTGTGGAGGGTGGACAGGCCGCGGAGGACAGCGCGGGCGACGAAACGGATCTCGCGGTTCGTGAGAGGCTTCTTGACGGTTGCCTTCAGAAGAGTGTCGTCCATGTGGCGGAGGACAATCATGGGTGCGTCTTGCTGGATTTCGTCGATAACCGGGCGGAGGAAGGGGTTGCCCTGGAATTTGCGGAGGACATTGTGCTCGTTCTGGGCGCCGGAGATGCCTTGAACGCCCTTAACGATGGACTTGTTGCCGAGGGGGTTTCTGACGAGAGTTAGTTAGAGAAAGACACAATGATATGCGCAGCTGACTTACGTAGCAATCCAGACACCTTCGCGGATCTTCTTCTGAATGGTGTACCTGCTGGCGTTTCCGAGCAAGATTTGGCCAATCTCGAGGGACGGGGTCCCGAAGGCGGCGAGACCTCTGGGAATCATTTTCGGGGATGTGTGTGAGAAGAGTCGTCGGAGTTTGAGAGTTGCGGAGGTTCGAAGTATCAGGTGTTCGTAGTTCGTGATATTTCACTTATGTGACAGCTTCGAGTGGCTGTCTGAGAAGGACCAGGTCGATAATGGTCATTAGGTATATACCGGATCCGATTCGTAATGGAGAAAGATCTAACACGCGATTCCGGTCATCTAGAGGAACCTTGTCGAAATAAACCCTCGAATAAAAGCAGGTCTATTAAAAGGACGGAGTCGTCGGAGAGATTGAAGAGTCGAAAAGGTTGAGGCGAGTTGGTTGTCTGAGCAGAGCCGGAGTAAGTTGAGTCGGAGGAGCAACGCTTCTTTAACGGGCAGCCGGGTACTTTCCTGCGGTACCTGACCGACCTAAGGGCAGGGCGACGTGCAGGGGTGGCGGAGGCGTGGGTGTGGATGCGGTGTGGGTGGGGAGTGGACTCGGGAGTGGATGGGGGTCCTTTTAGCGTCAGCGGAAGGCAAAATGAATCTCTGGGAACGGTACGTACCTTGAAGGGCGCTGAGATTGGAACACACAAACACCACACACACAGCAAGGTAGAACGGGCAGCCAGCAAAAGACAATGGGAGAAGCCCCAGCACCTGGAGGGCAAGCCTTAGCGTTCGTGGGATTGGCAATGGAAGGTTGTGTGGCACCCAGAGCAGCAGTCCAGAGTCAGACTTGACTCCCCTGATTGCAGCAGGATTGGCAAGCCGGACGCCGGAGTTGATTAATGAGTAGTAGCATACACCGGCCGCTGCAGTGAATATGGCGGCGCCTTGCTTGACCGAACGACCATCCAGACCGAACATCTCGCTGCCCCGAGAATAGACGTCTCCCGCCTGTCGCGATGAGTGCCGGCTGGGCGCGGCTTGGCTGGCACTCAGCACTGGCTTCTTCTAGGTAGCTTTGGACCATGGACCAGCCATCGTCTTTGGGTATCAGCACTGGCATTGACACTGGCCGTGGCCATCGCCCGGAATAGTAGCTGGCAGCAGTTCAGCGAAAGAACCAGCGGCTGCCACGGGGCGTGCGCGACCGTCAGCGGTGAGGCAAATGAGTTCGCTCCGTTTAGTTTCAGTGGACTTGGGGGGAACACCAGTCATCCGGGTCCAGAATAATCAACAGCCCCCTCCGCTTGGAAAAAAAAAAAAAAAGATTTTTCTTCTAGTGCTCGTGTCGGACGGCACCCATGCCAAGGTACGTGCATGCTTCTACTGCATAGTAGTGATCGGACTGTGTGATGGAGGGTGGCCTATCGGTCTATCGCCGTGGCATTGGCCGTCGACAGCGGTCTAGATCGTCCTGCTGCCCGGCGGAAACACTTGCAACGCACAGTGTCGAGCTGTTCGCAAACAGCAGACGGTAAGCCATTGTTGGAAGGTCTGGAGCTGCTTCACCTTGGAAGAGGAGTCAAGACGAGTCCAACGAGCACTGATCTGCAAGGATGAACCACAGCGGGAGAAGCTTGCCGTAGGGGTCCGCTCCTCCTTTTCCAGGTACGCGCCCACCTCTGCAAGCTCTGCTCCAACCTTGACACCCTCACACCACACGAGGACACCATCAGCGGCCACGGGTTGATAAGGCGTGACTCCGTCAGCCGCCCTGGTTGGCTGGCACGTCGCTGTCACCGACAGACCGGACTGCTTCCGTTACCCTGAATGCCTGCTGTGCCGGGGGCTGGACGTGTTCGGTGCATACCCGGATTTTGCGACTCGTTCTGCTGTTGCATTCGCTGCACCACCATCTGCATCTGAAATGCCCGGGAGGGTGGTGTGCTTCTTTCGTCGGCTCCGGCTCCTATCTGCCAGACTGCCATTCCAGCTGCAGGCTGGGTTCCGTGATCTCTAGGTCCAGATAAGGTGACTGGTCAAACGACGACAAAAGGAGGCTCTGGTGGACAGCAACCCGCGCATCGTGTTCCGGGAGCCGGCCACGTCCACAGCGGCTACAGTCATCCGCCACGGCTTGCATAGTTGGCAAGCCATGCTCCGCAAGCGTTACGCCAGTCAGTTGAGGAGGCTTTTTGGGGCGCTTTGCTGGGGGAACAGGCCAAAGGATGTGCTCGTTTGGCTGGTGCTTGATCTCCTTTGGGATTAGGGATAGAACAGCAAGCTCAGCTTGGCAGCATCTGCGTTCGCTTCTGCAGCTATACTTGCACTCGCAATCTGCATGCCAGGGGCCCTGGTGTGTCCACAGCAGCATTGTCCACAGCGGTGTCCGCATCGTCCAGTGTCTCAAACTCGGTCAAGAAAACCCCAGACTCAGAGTCAATCAAGCGTGGGGGGGCCGGCGTCGGAGGCGAACAATGGCGACATGGCTTGTAGGTCAGCTCCAGAGTCGGAATGCTGCCTCCACGGCACACCTCATTGATCGGCAAGCGAGAAGCGATACGCAGCGAGAATGCCACTTGAAGGTGACAATCGCCCGTGCTCCAATCATTTGCGGAGGACTGGAGAGGATCGCATGCGGGTGAAGGTGGTTCTGTAGGGCAGTAGGCCAAAAATGATGTGCGCTGGGACACCAGGATGCAGCTCCAGTGCCTATCGACGAGTTTGAGTCTGTTCCCTGGGGTCTGATCTCTTGGGCTGGCAGAAGAGAAAGAGGGGTCAAGAGTTGCACTGTCTGTCCTCTTGGTGCTCCGGCTCGTGGTCAGGCTGTTCTTCCGAGCTGACCTCTCGCTTCGGTCTGGTCGGGTCTCTCCAGTCCGTGTCTCTGGAAGCCTCGATCGGTGCGACCGGCGGTGGTGGTGGTGGTTGGTATGCGTAGTAAGTGCGGTCGGGCACTGTAGCCGGCCACAACTGCATAAGCACCAGATCATCAGGGCAATGAACAGCCTGTTTCTATTTTGTGAAGACGAGTGAGGCACTGCACTGACGCCATGCTGGTGGTGCTGGGTAGGACGGCTTTCCATGCTTGGTAATAATGGACAGGATGGTGTGATCTGAATTCATCATCTTGATTCCTGAGAGGCGGCCCCGTGCCCTGCCTGACCTGATGAAGCTGAAGTGAATCTGATGCTGATGCTGATGCTGACCTGACGCTGAGCCTGGTATGTCGGCTGGGCTCTCGACTCGTCTCGATGAGCTTCGTTCGATCACTTGGGCACTCTGTCTGTGGCAAGCCATTATTGGATACTCGTCAGGTGTCTGTCTGGCGCGAGTCTCGTGCGTAATTTTGTTTAACAACAGACGGCAAGGGGGTCGCTGATGTGAAACCGGCATCGCGGGGTGCATCCGCTTGGAGGTTGGACAAGAGCTTGAAGCTTGCACGCCTGGTTTTGCTGCTTTTGGGGGATAATTGCTGGCGACTGACTGCAGACGGGATGGTATGGTGTTCAGTCGGTGTGTCGGCGGTGTGCCAGCCAATTGGCAAGTGACAGGGTGGTGGTGCGGCGTGGGAGCTCCCTTGTCGTGACCCCCGTGCCCCCCAGGGTTTGCTCATCACGGGACGAAGTGTTGCAACATGGGAATTTTAAAATAAAATCATAAAAACATGGGGGAAATGGATGGGGCGGGGAATTCGGGGAAGACGAGGAACGAAGCCGGACGGATACTGTTAAATTGACCGTGTCGTTTTGTTATTTTGCCCGCGCTAAGCCTCTTTGAGATAGAATTCCCGGAAAAACGTATCTACTAACACTAAAAAAAGTACAAGTTCTTTAAAATACTATTTCTAATATATATATATATTCTTCTTCTCTTTTTTATAGAAAAAAACAGCCTTTCTATAGCCCTTTAATATAGTTAAAAAGATATATAAACAATGTTAAGATCACTTTTTTTAAACTTAAAATAATTTTTTAAATATTTTAGGTATTGAAGTTAGATATTACACTAAAAAGTTAAAAGCTTTAATTAGAATATATAGTATTATAGGGGGGAAAATACGTTTAGTATATAATATAGAAATAATACTTCTATATTTAGTAGTAGTACTTCTAGAGCAGAGGTAGCAGTATATTATTCTAGGCGCTATACTAAGCTCAGTTAGCGCGGGCAAAACAACAAAACGACACGGTCAATTTAACAGCTACCAAGCCGGACCACAATGCCAACCCACGGGCAGTGGACACACCTGCCAACGGGAAGGCGTGCCCTGGCCATGCGGCAGGCGGTAGCGGTCCTACCTTACTTGCCTAGCAGGTACGGATACCTGCCCGTAAGGAAAGAAGGACGGGAGGGGGGTGGCCCTTTCTTACTCTAGCTGCTGTTTCTTGTTCCTGCCCATTGCTGCTGCTGCTGCACTCAGCCTCCAGGCCAGGCTGGTCCTTCCCTCTGTCCTTCTGTCCCTCACTCTCTTTCCCCCAGTGACTCTTTCTGTGGTTTGTGGCTTCCTCCCAAATTCTGCCCTTGTCCAAAATTGACCACCTGAACTGCCACAGCCCCCCGAAAAAGAACTAGCGCCGTTCAACTCCCGACAGACGGTTCTATTTTGGATCCAATAGAAAACAAGGCCGTCACAAAACATTCCAACGGCAGCATTGCATTCCCTTCCCCGATTGTCCTCCCCTCTGACATTTCTCCCCCAAGAATTGCTTGTTTCCCCTATTTCGGTTTCTTTTCCCCTTTGATTCATCCTCATCTCACCCCCACGACAGCAGCGAGGTCCCCTGCTTCGCCTCCTCTGTCATCCAGCGTGCCAGTCACTGTGTCTCGCTGCCACCCCGGCCTGCAGCTGCATCGTCTTACCCCAAGCTCGAGATTCATCAAGACTCAGATGCGCACCTGACCATTGTCAATTTGTCGGTCCCCCTGCCCGAGTGCGACCCCGACACCAGGGAATCCGACAATCCAATTCCATCCCATTCCCCGGGGGCAGCTTTAGCTCTAGCTACCCGAGTCTCCGACGCCGACATCGCTAAGGCATTCGTACCTGCAGTGCTGCAGCACCTCTTTCCTTCTCCCACCGGACTGGCAGCTACAACCGCAGTCGCAAACCGGCTTTCACACGGCTCACCGCTCACCTTCGCTGTCACCTTACCTCTCTCACCTTACCGTCACCTGGTCATCGGCTTCATCTTCCCCGTCGTCAGGCCCTGTTCGCCTCACCGCGAGCCACAAACAACACCACAAAGACTGGCCGTCGCTATTCACACCTCCTATGCTAGCACCAGCATAGGTAGCTCATCATCTGCATTGCTTCCTCACCGGTCCCCGACCACGCCGACACACGCCCAAAACCGCGGCCACGTACGCTCCTCCAACTTACAGCTTAAAGCCCGGAGTCTAGGCCCAGGCCTGTCCACTGCACAAGCGCAAGCACAACTCACTCATCCTCCCTCCAAAACACGTCGCACAATGTCCTGAGTCCTGACTCCGTCCCGTCTCCCCTGCCGAGTCATGCCCGTTCAGTCCAAGCCCATCCCCGCCCTTTACACGGTGTATATCCTCCGTTCCACCGTACGCCACGCGTCTCTCTACATTGGCTCGACTCCCAATCCCCCCCGCCGTCTGAAGCAGCACAATGGCGAGGCTCGCGGCGGTGCTGCTCGCACATCTCGTCTGAGCTTGCGGCCCTGGGAAATGGTTGGCCTGGTCTCCGGCTTTCCGGGTAGCATCGCTGCTTTGAAATTCGAGTGAGTACACTTTCCCCTCCCGTCCCGTTCGTCTCGCACGCTACTGCCGCTTATCATGCCTCCCTTCCCTTCGGACGAAGCCTCCCTGAACCACCCCTCTAGCTTACCTTTCACGATGCTCCCTTGCTTTTAGCATATGCTGGTGCCCGTGCTGATCAAAAGACAAACAGGTGGGCGTTGACCAATCCCCATCTTTCCATGCACATACCTTCTGCGTCGCGAATCGCCGTTTCG